AACAAAGAATATTAGTAGTGAAATTTAGTGAAAAAGTCAATTCACTAATTTATCACAGTGCAACTTCCCTCAGCAGGCTGATCAAAGGGCCTGAACAGATGGTTTGAACCCCTTAGCCCCATGCAGTGTGTGTATGAGTTTGCTAGGGCTGCCATAGTGGCCAAGTGTCACAAACTGAGTGGCTTAAATACAAGTCTCTTATCTCACGCTTCTGGAGGCTGGAAGTCTGAGATCCAGGCATCAGGAGAGCCATGCTTCCTCTGAAGACGCCAGCAAAGGATCTGTTCCAGGCCTCTCTCCTGGCTTCTGGTAGTTTTTTGGCTTATGGCAACATAAATCCAATCTTCACATGGAGTTCTCCCTGCACACATGGTCTGTCTCAGCATCCAAATTTCTCCTTTCTACAAGGATATCTGTCATTCTGGATTAGGGATCCAACCACTTCCATATGACCTTACCTTAACTAATTGTATTTGTACTGACCCTGTTTTCAAATAAGATCACATTCTGAGGTACTTACTGGAGGTTAGAACTTCAACATCTGAATTTGGGGCAGGGGGCCTACAAGTCAACCTGTAACTAGGTGGTCTTCCTCTGTGCTGCCAACGGAGGCAGAAAGGAACTCTTTCAGTTCCTGCGTGCCAATGCCTACACCTGCTCCCTGTTAGGTTTTTCTTTTCCCCTGCATACACTCATGGCTTGTTTTAAATGTTTGTCTCTTCCCCTGCAACTGCAGTAATTTCTCAGTCTTGACTCTCAGGCAATGAGATGTGCTGAGAACAGATGTCTCCAAATCTGTTTGTGTCACTGTCTCAGATTTAGATTAAGGCTAACTAATATGCAGCAGGCACTTAGCATGTGTTTTCACATACCTTACCTCTCAGAGTCCTACAATATCCCTCCAGTACCATATCTTCTTTGTGAGGAAACTAAAGCTCTTTCTTTTTTTTTTTTTAGACAGAGTCTCACTATGTCACCCTTGGTAGAGTGCCATGGCATCACTGCTCACAGCAACCTCAAACTCTTGGGCTTAACTGATTCTCTTGCCTCAGCCTCCCAAGTAGCTGGGATTACAGGTGCCCTCCACAACACTTGGCTATTTTTTGGTTACAGCCGTCATTGTTGTTTGGTGGGCCCAGGCTGGATTCAAACTCACCAGCTCAGGTGTATGTGGCTGGTGCCTCAGCCGCTTGAGCCACAGGCACCAAGATAGCTTCACTTTTCAAAGTGGGTTTTTCTGAATTCTTTGGGTAGTGTAAGTTTAATGCAAGGATAGATAATGTATCATAGTTACAAATTCCTGGAGGAACCTTGAACCTTTTATTATTGTGCTTTTTCCCATTCAGAGCTGAAGCTAAAAATGGACAACTTATTTTGGGGGTTTCCCTTTGCTGGCTAGACCTTGGGTAAGTATTTCATCTTGCTCAGTCTTAATTTAAAACTTATAGCATAGATTTATTTTGAACATTAAATAACATAATGCATATGAAGTCCTTAGATTGTATTTAGCACAAATTAAACACTCAATAAATATTACATTTTGTTTTGCTATTTATATGACAAGACCTGGACCCAAACCAATTACAAATAATACAAAACAGTGTAGGGATTGGTGACAGTTTATGTAGTTCAGGTGCTATCATGGGATATATGGAGAATATCCTTTGGGGGAAGTGAGAGCTGAAGAAACTATTCTATTTTTCTTTATTTTAAAAAATGTTGGCTCGGCGCC